GATTTAGATTTTTTTTCTTTCAGGTATTTATCTTGTCCTTTAAGCAAAATTAAACAGTGCATTTATTTGATAAACTATCTTTAATTATCATGTTCTATATCGCTATCGCTTCTATTTTTTTTGGGGGGGGGGGGGCGTAAGACATGCGTTTTAATCCATTCATCTTAAATTATATTTTTGTGTACTGCATTAAAGCAAATCTGCGCCTATGTTTATTGTAAAAAAAGAAAAAAAAATCAAGTATTTTAATAAGCAAAGAATTGTTGCTTGTCTCCAATATCACATTCATGTGTGTATATAAAAAATATTTAAAATCGCCATGCACATAGTACTACCCGGGAATGGAACGAATTATATTTTAGATTTATTTCATCGCCGTTTTTTTTTCTCTTCCTGCTCCTTTATCCATGAAAATAACTACCTAATTGCCACAGTTTTTTTTTATATTTGAAGCGAAACCAACCTAACTACCAATCATAGTGAAGGGGCATCTTAAGTGACAAAAATATATCAATTTGCGTTCATTGTAAACATATATAGGTGGTATGTATATAAAATGTAGTGAAAATGAAAGCTTATTTTTTTATCACTTATTTTTAATAATTGTCATCCCCAAGTAACACTTTCACATCACTTTCGCAGAGATTTTCTTCTATCTATAGATAATTCAGTCATCCCGTTTCTTAAATCTGTCCGATCCATTTATGTCTGATCACCTAGATGTGATTAAAAAATACCACTAAAAGTGAATAAGGGTTCAAAATCAATGTTTATTTTTATTCATTATATATGTGCAAACCGTGAGTCTGACACCTTTTTAATTTTTTTTTCGGATAACCCCGGTTTTTCCCACAAAATGCATTCAGATGTTACAGAATTTCGGACACATTTGACACCTTTTTTATTTTAATCAGGTAATCTCGGTATTTAACTCAAAATGCATTCAGATGTTACAGAATTTCGGACATATATCACACCTTTTTATTTTAATCGGGTAAACTCGGTATTTACCTCAAAATGCATTCAGATGTAACAGAATTTCGGACACATTTGACCAGTTTCTATAGTAGTTACGAGACGTACTTCTATAGTAGTTACGAGACGTACTTCTATAATGTATACGTGTGCGGATAGATCATCCAGAGTTATTCGGTTTCAGAGTTATTAGATAACCAGTAGATTTTTCTTTCTTTTTTTCGATCGGGAAAAAATACTAGTAACGTAAAAACTGCCTCTATAAATAAGCTCTTTTCAAAATTGTATAATACTTTTAGTATTCATGAAATGGTTCTTACACTTCATAAAGGACATCGTCAAATATGTAAGTTGATCTTGTAAATTAGATGTCCAAAAAAAAAATTCTAAGACATCATACTAGGCTAATAAAGAAGGGAAAAGCTACGGAGAGAGAAAGAGAGAGAGAGAGCAAGCGTTTAAGAGCTTTGAGTTTTAAAATAATGTTAGCTATCTAACATTTACTGTAATCTTGAATGCATAATATTCATAAATGCCATATATTTCTTCATTTGAAATATCAGTGAGAATAAACAAATCAAACTATTTACTCTTTTACGTATCCTAGAATAAACAGTCATAGAGTTGCATGAATTTTAGATATCAACTTCGGATTAGACTTTTTATGTTAATAAAAAGATTTGAAACAAGGTTACCGTATTACGTTCAACATCTAGTGCTGGTAACAAAGTGGAAACCCGACATAAATCAATTCTCAACACTTTTTTTCTAATTATAAAATTATTTTGACAAACTTCTTCAAAGTATTTTTGCTCAGATTCAGTAGGCCTCACGGTCATATTATGACGTCATCATTGTATCATGTACGTAAGCATAAAAGAAAAGAGCGTAATTTTAAATTTTATATATAAGAACACATATTAAATGGCAATTTAAGAAATTCTATTTAAAAATTATTGATAAATTGGGGATTATATAATTATCAAGAATAAATCTGATATACTAATAACTTATTTATGGTATTTATGCATATGATGAACTTATAATTACTATTAAAATGGAGGACCTTGCTTCAATTTCTGAAAGCTCAACGTTAAAAAATGTAAAATTCATATTGGCCACACGCGAGTACCTCTAAGATATTTTGCATAAAGGTGCATATATGTTATATTTTTATGCATGCAAAGTTTGGAAAGGGTACTTGAGTGTGGCCAAATTCAAATTTAGGAATAACTGCCGTAAAATCGGTGTTTTTAAGCAGTTTTTAACTACATAGGTATATTTGTCTCTGCGCATGTGCTAAGGACGGTGGCCTGTGTGCCAAAAAATTATATGTAGGGTACCATGACATTGTGCTTTACAAAATGACATATGATAGGCTTTGTGATTTCAAACTTAAATTTTGTCTAAAATTAAAGGCACATATTGATAGTTCGTGGCTTTAGCTCTTTGTATGGGCGAATATTTCTGTTTTATTACGCACCAGTTGCGGTTTGAATTTTAGAGGTCTTTAGAGTCATGTACAATATGTATTAATACATGTAATCTATATAATTTTGATAAATTATTATAATTATTTTTTTTTGTTTTAATGATTGTTTTTAAAGATGGCCCTGTTATCATATATTATTGATATTTTTAATTATTTAACTATTGAATTATATTCTCTTGATTACCTGCCTGAAATATTGCCGATTTTTACTTGAAGTATTGTTTTCAAATAAAATGGTTATTTAACATGATTTTATGATTAAGTTAAGAGATTTTTACACATCATCACTTTGATAAATTAATTATTGTTTCTTGTTAATTTGTTATTGAGATTATACATTAATTTGTCTTTAGGTCTCTTTAGATAAATAAAAGAGGTTTCTAATCACGCCTTATTTAAATTTCAGAAATAGTAAACCTATTATGAAATAATGAATATCAATCTGTGCCCAAGCTCTTTCAAGAGTTAACAGGGACGCAAGGCTTTAATTATCAGACAGATTTTATCTTTCAACAGGACGGAAGAGTTAAATATTCGAGGGAGTGGGGGCTATTTAATGATATTGGGAGAAGGTTTACTATATGGTAGTCTATATGATGGGGATGGGGTGTATAGAGTTATTTTCGGGAGAAGTTTAACTCTGAGTTAATGCAACTCTAATTATACTTATCATCTAAAAGATATTTAGGAAAGGTAATGTTTATTTTAGGACGTGATATCAATTATCAATGGTTATTTCCATTAATATGTCAAATCCATATATCATAGTTAATTTGGATAAAAATACAAAATCAAGTTCAATATATATGTTACATCTACTTGGGTAGTTGAAGACGTTGATTATAATTTATAAAAAAAATATTTTAAACGATGATCAACTTTTTCTTTCGTCAACTTTCCTTATTTATTCAGTAAAATCATTTGCCTAGGAAATCAATCTTCCGTATTTTTTTTCCAGTTTCTAAATACGCATTATCTACCTTTATTAGACAATTAATGTCTTTATCTGTCATTGTATGCATATTTGATAAAACAAGACTTGTTAAAGAAATTTACGCAAATGGTCTTCAAAAGAAACAAAGATAATGTAGTTCAAGAATTTAAAAATAATGTCAAATGTTCATGTGTGTACGCTTGTATTTTTATGGTAGATTTTTTATGAAATAAAATGTCTTCTTAGAGTCATATCTTTTAAGTAACAATTTATACATATGTTTTCAGACGTTTATTGATTTTAAAAATAGCAGAACATTCTAATTAAGCTACTTCGTTTTTATGTAGAGAACACAATAATATAGAAAGTAGTTCTTGATATAAACTCAGGAACCTCTGTGATATGAAAACATTGAAACATATTTATTAAACAAATTTAAATCAATAAAACTTATTTTAGTTTCTGATTGTAAGATTAAGTTAGAGAAGTATATGCTATTTTTTGTTTGTCATTTGAACAAGTATGAGGGTATTTATTTCGAATATAATATTGAAATACGATTATCATACAACCTCAGACACGATAATTCCTTATTTGAAAATGCAATTTAACTTTTAAATTAGTTTTCTGATTTGAAAATTCAAAAAATATTTCTATTTAAACGTATGTGAAAGATTTAAATGACACGGCGTTTTCTTTTCTGTGTCTTCTGAGTTTGATATTAAATGTTATTCCTCGATTTTGTCGATTTACAGGTAATGTGATCTACGTTATAAGACATCAATTTTATCCTGCTACTAAACATAGTGATTTGTCATTGATTTCCATAAATAGAGTACAGGTAATGGGAAGCATAATACAAACCGAAAGTTAAATTAAGGTAAGGTATTTTTCTTTCTTAAAAAGTTACTTTGTTGGGTCATTTAGGAAACAAAATACCGAATGTTGGTGCTTTATTACATATGTGAAAAGATTCAAATCTACCAATTTACAGACACAATATAAAAAAAAATTGCAAACTAAATTCATGTATCCTTTAGAGATATTTCTTACCATTTACCCTACTTAAATGAAAAATAAGGTGAAATTTTTCAGTTAACTGAGGCTTTGATCTAGTATTGATAGATTATTAAGGTTGTAAATTTATATATATATCACCCTTTCATACTAATTCCTTGAGCATTGTATGTAAATCTTATCTACATATCATCTAAATGTGTTCATGCCATAAACCTTTCTTTTGAAATAAGCGCACAAGTACCTAAAGTTGTCCTGATCATAAGAACCCATTTGCTTAATATTTTACTTTTGAACAAGTGAAATGTTTAGGCAAACTATTTATAATAATTTTACTCAAATTTTATTAAAATATGTGGTAATTTAATTATCAAGATAATGTCATGAAACTCTTTTCAAATTAATGATATTTGATTCATAAAGACCTTCAGGACAGTGCAAAAATACTCCAAGGCGCCACTTAAAAATTAGTCAGAGAATATCTACTAATTTCTATTTTTTCCGAAAAGGGGGATAAAATACGTATGCAGTCATTTTTTTTTCAGATATGTGCTTTTTTGATTCATTCATAATTTTGTGGGAATGAATCACCTACATCGTCTGTCAGAAATTGTGTATATAGGACTTTGTCGTGAAGTAGGGAGTCCTGCAGAAGTGAGGATTAGGAGAGAAGTGACCGACACTGTGGAGGCGGTGAGGAAACCTGTGGACATCATGAGTGGACTTGATGGAATGAAAAGTGGGAGTAAGCGTGAGGGATTCAGACTAAGGACTTCTGATGAAGATATCATGTTTTGGCCTCCAGACCACACGGTGATATGTGATCTCTCTCAAATAAGACTTTACCGTATCCCACAACACACAGTGATTCTGATGGAGTTTGATGATCTTCCACCGGGTTTTACAAGACTTAACCTGATGAATCAATCAAATAATTCACAAACCATTTCCTCCTGTATAGTAATGAATAATATTACACACATTTCAAGTATATTATTCAGGGATAACTACTTGCGGTTCTTAAAGACTTGCACTTTCCCAATCAGTACAGCTGTTCCTCATGGACCTTGTTCTACGTATTCCTTATTTCAAGATGCAGGGGCGGACTTTGCGTTTTGTTTTCAGTCAAATCACTGGCCTACGTCCGCAAAACCATGGATACAGAGATGTCGTGAACGGGGATGGCCAGACCAGAATACTGTTTTAGATATATTTAAGGGAGGATTTCATGTCGTTCCCATCGGAAGCAAACCTGAAAATGAATTAGAATGGAGAATATCATTCTCTCGAGCAGAACAAAAACTAGTTTATACAATGAATCACTGTCAGTTCTTATGTTATGGTCTCTTCAAAATTTTTCTGATAGAAATAATTAATCTGCATATCAATTCACCGATTCTCTGCTCATACTTCATAAAAACCATTGTGTTTTGGGTCATACAGACCAATACATCCTTGTCATGGACACCTGATAACTTATTGTCTTGTTTTTGGGAAAGCTTTAAATTATTGATATTCATGGTGCTTACTGGAAATTGTCCAAACTTTTTTATTCCACAAAACAACATGTTTAGAGTGAAAGTCACTGGTTCTGTACAAACCTCACTGCTCAGTCAGTTGTATGGTTTGTATAGTAAAGGGATATCATGTCTACTATTAAGTAAAACAATCCGACCTTACCTCAGTATTGCTATATTTAACAAAACATTGAGATTTAGTACAGACGAGAGTAGTTTTATATCAAGCAGATATTTAGATATATCCTTAATTAATGAACTATTAATGTTTCATCACACTATTGAGAGTGCTGAGGAATTTGTAATTTACATCAAACAAATAGAGAGACTGATTAGGGGAGTGTTGACATCGTATCCGTCACTCATGTTACAATATATGACAACAAGTGTGCTAAGGAATACTGCCATGTTCTTACAGACTTGTATGTATATAAATGAAAATGGGAATAAGGTTTGCTTAAAAGCAAAAGTTGCTGCATTACTAAAACAGTCGTGTAAGTTTGGATGTTTATCTGACATTCTTTATCTCGCCATGTACTTCTACAGAACACGTAGATATGAAGACGCTTTAAGTTATTTACATAAAGCACAGGAGAGAATGTCATTGCCGTATGTTATGTATAGGGGTCATGTAAATGTAGATGTGTACAGACATTACATGGAAAGGAATACCCTGGGTACTAAGATGAGGAGAGCTGTTGTTAGAAATATTGATCTTTATTGTATCTACAGTTACCTTGATGAACTGGTGTTCGAACAGGAGATCAGTAAGAAACATGGTGTTCATTTATTACACATCCCACCTCTTGTGATGTTACACATGTTGTTTATACTGAATCACCATAGACTGGGTGACACTATCAGGTCACAACAATCTCTACAGGATCTAAACACTCTGCTTCTCTATGATGACGAAGTCCATGTACCACCTCTCTCTAGAGATATTTCGTGGCAAATACTTGGAATCTGTCAACAAATCTGTAGGGACTATTCGGGAGCTCTCCAGTCTTATCAGTATTCCTTACAACAAATGTCATTCCACAAACTTCATGAAGCAACAAACTTTAGAGTAATCAGTCTCCCAACTGTAGCAGTCTGACATTTTTAAAATAAGTATACTTGTTTACATATTTTTTAACGATAGGATATAGTATTTCCAGCAGATTTGTAGTTTGTACAAGTCCGTTCATGTTATTATCTTATTGCTGAGTTTACTGTTCATTTTCTTTCTTCGCAGAGGACAGTTTTGATAACTTTTTTACTTATATAAAAATATACACAGATGACCATTAATATGAAATAAACCGATCATCAACTTAGTTTTAAAAATATATGGGCCTTTGATTAAAAGATGAAAAAATATAATTTGTAAAAATATTTGTGAAAAAAGGATTCAGTTAAATTTATTAAATCATAAAATCATAAACAGAGAGTAACTATCTATATATTTTCACCAAGAGATTAATTTGTTTGAAATTCGAATTAAGGACAGATGATACAAACGAACTATTATCAAAAAATTTGAAAATAACAAATTGAGTCATGTTTTAATTAATAAAATGAACAAGTTTCCTGCGTAGTTTTTAAATTTTTTTCAAATATGCTCAAAAATGGGATTTGAAGTGAAAAATATTTGTTTAGATTAATGAGTATAGTTTCAGAGAGGCAGAATTTTGAACGTAGTTTACAATTTTTTTTACATTCTACAAATTTATTATTTGCATCATTTTCAATGGAATTAGCCTCAAAAAATATATACCAATCCAGGTATCCATTCTTTTGTTTGTATCATCTGTCCTTGATGCGCTGCCCTTACACTTAAATGTAAAATTCAATGTAAAATTCAAGTTGCAATTACATGTCATTAGACAATTATCACAATTTCGTAAATTTCTATGATGAAGTTCAAGTTTACTTGAAACCTCCTTCAAAATAATTATATGATTAACCATATCGTACCATATCGTACCTTACCTGACCATAGAACTAACAAAATGATGCCTTTAAATGAGACTGATTTTTTTGCTTTTTCAACTTGTAAATAGCATAAATTTCTCTTTGGGTTGTCATATCACTTGAAATGACTACTGATAGAACATCATCGATACATTTGAATATCTTTTTGGAAGCCATGACAATTGTTTTACTTCTTCTCGTGTAGAAATTTCTGAATAAATTCTAATACCGTGTAATAATAGCCAAGGTCTGAATTCATGGAAGCAAGTCAAATAAGACTTAAATAATTATCATGGAATAGTTTTTTTTTCTAATTTCTTCTGTACAGTATTTTTTAAACGGCACAAGAAAACTGTTAGGTTTTTTTGTTTTTTTGTAAATGTGAATGGAGGTAAAAAAAACTGTAACTGTTGTCGTCAGCCAAAGATGGAGAATATTTAATAAAGCAGAAGAAAAACTGTAGATATTGAATCAAAACACAAGAAATCAAGGATTTTTTAAAGCCAAAAAAATGCACGTTTGATTTACAAATCAAGTAAAAATTGATATAAAAATTGCATTTAGTAACCAGTCGCAATAAATGTTTTCAATAAGTTATAGCAAATATAATTTAAGTACATATATACTAGTGCATAGTACAAGCAATATGACGAAAACCTTGCATACTCTATCATTAAAATTTTTGGATTGAAATTGATATCTTGTAATTTTTTTCTTAAAATATATATTTAATGAGCAATCCATATAGCAATATTTGTATTTTTAATTTATACTAGTAATATTATAACATGTATAATATATGTTCTTCGTTTTCTTTTTTCTTTCTTCCCCATTTCATTTTCTAATTATGTATATCACACACTTGTCTCTCAGACCTGAATGTATATGCTGTTAATATTTTTTGTCCTCATGTACCATGTATTTTAAATGGTTTTGAGTGAATAAATGAAGTTGAAGCTGATCCTTCTAAAGGACAAATTGGGATAAATATTGTAACAAAAGATCTTAAATGCAAAATGGTCAAAACATAAAAGTCTGTCATAAATGGAGTGACAAAGGACTCGGATAAAAACAGAAATAAAACATGTGCAAAGAGACGGGATGAAAGAAAATTGTCTCGGAAACAAAGAGTCCAAATTCAACTACTGGACAAAGTAACTTGTTTCTTAATGCCGTTGTTTTGAGTATAAATAGATTCTGCAATATTGTACATATTTGGAGGTGCTTGTGCTCTATTTTCCTCTCTTAAAACTAATACACTGTTCTGTAGAACTCATGCATAATGAGCACATCCAGCAATCTAGTATGAGCACTTTAAATAATTTTAATGGTATTATGATCCAAAACAATCTAAAACAGGAATGATCAAAATATTTCATTAAAATGCACACAGTGTTTGCATTATATGCTTTTAATACCTTATACATAAACAAACCTGTAACTGAATTGTAGGATATATATCCCTTGCAGTTAATGTCATCTGATTTTCTTGTATTATGGGTTCGAGTACACCAATGATCGCGGGAATGCCACTAGGTAGCTGAGATGTCTGTTCAGTCACGATCTGTGCTGCTCGATCCAGCCACTGCATTATCTGCAGCTTAGAAACTATATAAAACTTGTACACAAAAAATCACCAAACATTTTTAAGGAATCTTTTTCTAGTAAGTATTTTATGCCAGGGCATCAATGATAGTGGGAAATATGGGATAATTTGCATAACGGGTCTCCTTAACGTCTGATACAGAGACAGATGCGCACGAGATTTACATGCATATAAGGCCCGCTTCGCTCCCTACCTATCGACACCCCTAATTTACATTCCGGCAGAATTATCAAGAAATCAATCAACTCTCCTATGTTTCAAAGAGTTATCACTGAGAAAAAAATAGAAGTGAAATATTTTAGAATAATTAGATTCGCAGCATAAAAATATTTTTTATGATACATTTATATTTAAGACCGTTTCTTTCAAAGAACTCGTATCTTTTATAAATGTCTTGTGTATTGTTGAAAGGGATATACCAAAACGATTGCCAGTTTCTCAGATGGACTTTTGATTGGCCAAGTACTAAATTGAAAGAATGAATTACTTTTCTGTGTTTTGCCCCGTGGGAATCCGGGTTACAATAGGTCCTCAGTAACCCCTTGCTTGTGTTAAAAGGCGACTAAATGGGGCTATCCTTCGGATGAGACCGTATAAACCGAGGCCCCGTGTCACAGCAGGTGTGGCAGGATAAAGATCCCTCCCCGCTCAAAGGCCGTAAGTGCCTAGCATAGGCCCTAAATTTGCAGCCCTTCACCGGCAATGGTGACGTCTCCATATCAGTGAAATATTCTTGAGAGGGACGTTAAACAGTATACGATCAAATCAATCTCTTGGGTTTTCCCCAATATTTGCATTTTATAAAGACTTGTAATGTCTCTATGATAACCTGGTTCATTTCGTACTTATAATAAAGAACAAAAGATTAATCACTATGTTTACATTGTTAATTTTCTTACTTATGTTAAAGGACAAGAGAGATCAGTCTTTATGTAAACATTGTTCATATCGAGGGTTGTTCGATATTTATTGTGTATTGTACGATATCTCAAAAGCATTCGATTCAAACAGTCAAATGGACATTACATGCCTTCAAAGTATTCTCTGTGATTTGAAACTAATCTCTGAATCCATTTCTGAAATGCGTCACGGTACGCTGATTTAGGTATACCTCTTAGGCACTGACTAACGGCTGAGCCAAGGACCTGTCGGGACTTGTATCGACGACCAGATAAGAACTTTTTAAGTTTTGGAAAAAGGAAAAAGTCGCATGGTGCTAGATCCGGAGACTATGGTGGATGTGGCAAGACGGTAACATTCTCAGACTTCAAAAATTGTTTCACAAGCTCAGATGTATGTGATGGAGCATTATCATGAAGAAGGCAAACATGGCTAAATGCCGACACAGGACGTCGTTTCTGATAATATTTCTTGAGATTTTTAAGTACAACATATCGGTAATACCGACCTGTAACACTTTTGCCCTTTGGCACCGGAATTTGTACGGCTAAACCATCACAAGAGAAGAATATGCAATAAAGGACCTTCTTTGTGCTCATTGTCTACCGTGTTTGGTTAGCCATAATTTGTTTCTTACTTTTCTTGCTGGTTCGAAATAGTTAACCCATGTTTCATCACCAGTAACTATGTTTGCACATTGTCTTTGATTGAAGTTTAGAAACATTTTTAACAGTCGCTTAGCGGTTTGTATTCGTACCTTTTTTTGGTCAGCTGTCAATGTATGGGGTATCCATCTGGCAGAAATATTTCGTACATTCAAAATATGCTTCAAAATGAAATGCATCCGCGATAGCGATATGCCAACAGCTTTGGCAATATCACGAATCGTGTACCTGCCATCACTTTCAATTATTGCCTTGACTTTTGAGACACTTGTCGTGCCTGATACAGTCACAGGTCAACCCGATTTTGCTGCATCTTTGACGGACTCTGTGCCAGTCAGAAATTTCTGTCTCCACCTACGAACTGTCTCATAAGATACCTTATCAGACTCATAAACTTCCAGCAATTCAGTAAAATCTGCTTTACCGAATTACCGAGTTTTGTGCGAACTTTTATATAAGCTCTAATTTCTTCAATATTCTCAACCCGTTTCCCAACCATTTTTACAACAGTGGTCAACGACTGGCTCTGTTGAAATGACGATTATTTTATAACTATGTCTAGTTATCCAGGCGTATAAATATCGACGAAATCGTACAAGGCGTTATCGCTCTGTGGTACAATACATAATACATATCGAACAACCCTCGTTTTGTACTTATAATAAAGAACAAGAAAAATACTTCATCATGTTAAACATTGTTCGTTAAACTTCGGTAATCATTATTAATGAATCAAGTATATTTTGCTCTTATTTTCTCACCTATCTTGTTTGAATAGTATCCTCATCAACATTGTTCGTCATATTTTAAAGTTATTTTATATATAGGCATATTTTATAATAAAAATATTTTTGTTGCTTTTGATTAAATGAAAAGGTGACAAACAAACCTCTTAAATCTCAGTACTTGTAATGGTGGATACAGATCCCTGTAGACTGCTTACACCCTTCAAAATCCTTGTCATAATCGGAT